TTTAAAATAATATTTTGTACTCATGTTAACATCTACCTCTCAAGAGTTCTGGATGAACATTTTTTACCTGGACTCGTTAGAATCAGATTTGGAATCGTTGGTAGCTTTTTGTGAAACTACCTGGTAATCTGTGCTACATGTGTCTGCTGGAATGTGAACAAAGCCTCCCATTATCCAACAATTTTGAAGCTTTATTGAACCAGTTAGGAAAATGTATTTTCTTACCTGTTGGTTTGCTTGGCACTTTAAGGAAAAATATATGAAGAGCAAAATGAGCTACTGCACATGCCAAAGCTAAACCGCTGTACATAAGGAAAGACCATGATCCGCCAAACCATTGGTATAAGACACCACCAGCTAAGCTTCCAATTGCATACCCTGGAATTTTTGATTGCAATTTTTAATTAGTTTTGCTCAAATCTTTTCCAAAAACAATTCCAGTTTTGTCTGAGGGAACTTACCAAAGCCATCATCCATTCCTGCAACAAGTCCTTGCATGGTTGCAGATGTTCCAGGTGGTGCAACAGCACTAGCATATGCAACTATTGTAGTGTAACAAAGTGCAAACGAAGGTCCTTGAAGGAAGAACTCAGTAGGAAGGAGCCACCAAGGGTTGTTTGCTAGTGATATCAATCCCAATCGGAGAGCATAAAATACAAAACTTAAAGAGAGACAATGCTCGTACCCTAATTTCTCAATCATTTTTCCTGAAAAATGAATGTTGTATTAATATTTGGCCAAGAAATTTTCTCTGCTGATTCAATTTATGCTATTCACCTGCATAGGAGAAAAAGATAACTTCACCCCCAAGAGTTTCGGCTGCTATGACTAGACCTTCGATTAGCTTCACATGAGACATTGCTCCCGATGCCATAGCTAAATCCTCCAAGTACCAGAACATGAAATATATAATGAAACTGTCACAAATCCCGGCAAATGTTGCAAATATTAAAAATACCACAATGTGTCGGTGTTTAAGAAGACTTGCAACATCACCAAGAATGCTTTCAGATTTTGGAAGTTTAGGAAGCTGTGAGAAATAAAAAATATGTTGTAAAATATAATTTGAAATTAGTCAAATTCTCAGATGAATTTTCTCTCTTACCTTTAGTCGAGTACAAGTGAATATATCCAGTAAACCAAAAGCTAATGTCAGAATAAATGCAGGAGCGTAGTTTTTCATGCTGTCGTCTGTTGAGAAGAGGTCAATGACATACCCAGCTAGAAGTGCTGATAAACCAAATCCAATAGCTCCAAAAACACGTTGTCGCCCATATCCCATCTCTCCACCTTCCCCTTTGGGACAAAAAGTTGTCTGTTATATAAGGCATGTTATAAAAAAAATCAACTAAATATTATAGTAGTTTCTATTTTACCTAATACATCAAAGCAGATTGCATCACTTATACTATTTGCAACATTATAGCCGATGCTTCCTATAGCCATTAGAATTACAAAACTCCAAAATGTGACCGTTGAGTACAAGTATGGGTCAGTATGGACTGGCTCACACATAATATCATAAGCATTTGAGGTATTATTTTGACACAGATCACTGACATTTACTTTTGACGCTATTGAACATTTTTCTGGAGTCAAGATATTTCTTTCGACTTGTATATGTTTTGTGTTAGCAGACCATGTGCAGTTATACAACATCGAATTTTCTTCTCTAACAGTGTAGTTACCCTGCAATGACAAAATAACAATAAGACTTGCTTCTAGAAAAAGACTGAGAGCTACATTATTTTGTTTGCATGCCAACCTTTTTGTGGCATGAATTAATCTCTTCACATGTTATATCATTAACAGAAAATGGACGAATGGGAGCAGCTGGGACAAAATATAGTAATATGTGTGCTCCACACATAATACAAATTACTGACATAAAAAGTAATTTTCTCTGTCTCTGTACAAGCAGAAATGTAATTAGTTTACTAAGAGTGGAGTGTACGATTGTAAGTTATCCATGTCTATTACAGAAAATAAGACTAACTTGGAAGTAGTCAGCTAGATATCCAAAAGCTGGTTTGGCCACCAGGAACAATAGCGGTAGGACTGCCGATACAGTCCCCATTACAATTTCTGATATTCCTAGCTGTTTTCCAAAAACAATAGTGAAGGGTAATATTGGCCCCATAGCTGTAAAACAAGTAATGTCATGTAGGCTAAATGCAAAAACAGAAGAAACCAATTTTTTAAAAATTGATATATTTTGTGTACTTACAGGCCATAAAAAAGAAGAAATGTGCCTTGACAGGCAGTAGCTTTCTGTTGACTTCCACCATGTTGATGTTTAAAAACAAACACTATTCCACTATTAATAATTCTCGCTCAACTTCGACGCAACGTCTGAAAAAAGAAAAGACAGGTGTTAACTTTTTGGTAGTTTTGGTGTCAAGAGCAAGTCGTGGCGTGGGGGTGCATTTCTGGGATTTCCCTCCCCTCCCCCCTCCCCTCACTCGTCACCCTCCTCACCTCCCCTTTTCTAGGTGCATTTCCTGCTGTAATTGTCTACTTCCACTCAATCCAGACGTGGGCGTCTTGGGTCGCTAAGTGTGCGGCAAGACAACCCCCCCCCCCCCCCACACACACACACAACGCCTGACGTGTAGGCAATTGGTGTAGCCTCTCTTCAGGCCCGTCTTGCCCGTCCGTCCTGTAACGGTTGAATATTGTTGGCGTGACCGATAATCAACTCCCAATGGGTACGGCACTGTCGACGGTATTTTCCCTCCTTGCCATCCTTGATTGCATGACCTCAGAAGTCTTGTCGAGTCTTGTCTACAGGACCGGACCCGAGACTCCCGCGGTCTGTTGTGACCGGATGAGTTCTGAGGTGCAAACGGAAGTGCTGCTGATGACCTTCGACGTCGCACTGCCCTCAATTTACATTGCTCATTGGCCGGGCGCGCGGTGGGGGTGCGTGCGGGGCCCGTGCGGGGTGCGGGGAAGGCCAAGAAGACGGAGGGCGGCAGGGCGGCAGGGCTACTCACCAGTCGGCTCCGCGCGCGCCTAGAGAGGCACACAGGGGTCGCGGCCCGCTTATCTCTGCATTGACACGTTGAGCACACTTGACAGTGGTGGCGATAGCAAAGGTCAGCCGGTGGAGGTCCCCTCTCCTGCTGCTCCTGCTGCGCGGTCCAGCTGACGGGATGCTGGAGTGGAGGCTCAAGATGGCCCGTCGGAGGACAGGTCCGGCATGTGTGAGTGCACAGCTCCGAGCGCCGGCCGGGCTCCAGAGCACTGGCAGGGCAGGCAGGGCACCGCGGGCCTCCGCCACACCGTTACGATGACCCAACACGTTTCAAGACGCGCTTCGAGAGAGACGTTGGGCCCGGCGGCGGGGCGGGGCGCGGTGGCGCGGGAGCGGGGACGAGGCGGGTTTACACCGATAAGAGAAGCACCGGCGAGGACGGCCCGGTCGCTTGGTGCGTCTACCCCGACGAGGGAGGACAAGGAGTGTGTGAGTGTGAGTGAGAGAGAGCCAGTCCGGGTGGGCCGCGGGCGGAGCGGCCGAACGTAGCCGACTTGGCTCGTTTAAGATTCCCCCGCGCACCCCCTCGCCCTTCGCCTCTCTCTCCCCCGACCATCGGCCTCTCCACCCACGCCCCTTCCCCATCACCATGTCAAGCCGCTGCATTCCGAACGCACCAAATCCCTTCTCCCTCGTTGCTATCCCTCCTCTTACCGCACCGCTCAATGCGGGCCCGCGGGCTGGGTAGTGTGTAGGTCGGTGATGTGGTCCCGGTAGAGCTCGACTCGAAAGCGCCGCGCTCCCGCTCGGCGCGGAAAGGTTTAATCGACGGGGCTCTGGGTCCTTAAGATTAATTAAGCGCTCGTGGGCTTAAGCCTAGCCGCACGCCGACAGCAGACACTGTCGTCCCCGCCGCGGGGCGTGCCCGGGCGTGCAGGCGGCGCTGCCGCACCCATCAGCTGATTACTTTGTACACACACCGTGGCTGTCGCAGGCTGTCGCCGACTCTGTTGCGCGGCCGCGCTCGGCCGCCCGTCCCTCTGCCCGGCTAGCACAGCTCAATCCCTCACTTCTTGTCGTCGGCGCCCACCCGGGGGAGTGACTTGTGTCCCATGTCGCGGTCTGCAGTCACACAAAGAGACGCGCGAGTTTCAAGGGGGTTCGGAGTTCGGGTCGCGGGTGCTATACTCACCGAGTGCTGCTGCTGTTTGCTAACGTTTGGCGGACGGTGGTGGGGGGAAATGACAGAGTTTTTTGTGTTTTCGTTGGGTTGGCAACGCGTCTCCCCCCGCCTTCCCTGCCTTCCCTCCAATGCTTTCACCCC